CCCATTTTTGGGCTTAAATTGTCAAATAAACAAAAGTTGGGTTGAAAAATTACTATTCACGGTTTTCTCAAGGATTAAAAGAGTCTAAACAGTAAAAATAAGTGTTTTTATGAATATCATACTCTTTTAAAGGTTAGAAATGAAATTTATGGCTTAATGGGCCAAATTTTGGGCTTTTCGGCCCAATGAGTCAAAATTGCGAAAAACCAAATTTTCAAGGGGTTGAATGATAAATTTCACAAAACAGAAGGTAAAAAGTGTAAACAAAACCAATTCAGGGGTTAAAATGCTTTTCTTATCCAAAAAGGATAAAAAATGTAAAGTTTTTGGATTTTGGGCCAAAATTGTAAAAGTTGCAAAAAGTTTGAGCTTTAACCGAAAAACACTTTTCTGGAAGGGCTGAAACTGCCAAAGAATAAGTTTTGAGCTAAAAATATCACTTGAACAAGTCTATGGGTCAAAAGTGTCAAGAAAATGGTTTAAGGGCTTAAAATGTCTTTTTTTTGTATAAAGGACTAAAATTGTTATTTTTATTAAAAAAGGGCTGAAAAGGGTCAAACCAACATTTTGGAACCAATTATTTTATTTTTAAGATATTGAGTCAAACATACCAAAAACTACAACTCATGAAATTTGAAAGATGAATATACGTATAAATCCAAATATCGTTATAAACAATCGACCGGTCTCGTGTCGATACGAAGATAACAATCGTCAATCAAACTTTCCAACAATTATATTATACCTAAAACAAGTAAACATCCAAATAGTTGGGCCTGAAAGATCCTAATCATGCTTATCGGACCTTCGTGGCCCATTGACATGACTTTTGGGCCTAACGCTAATAATAATACATGTCTTCTGGGCCTCTTGTGACCCAATTACATGTTTAAGGGACCCTCAATGGCTTATATGTGCTATTGGGCCTTGGTGGCCCATTAGCATTGCTAGTAAGGTCCAAGTTTAATCAAATATGAAATGGGCTAATGTGTCCTTTGTAACCAACAGCCTTAAATAACACGCGTAATTAGCAGGACCTTGTATTCCTCTTCTCCGTGTCTGTTAGGCTTATTTGAAATCAAAGTAAACAAATCCAGGTCGTTAATCAACAGTAATCAATTTTTGTTTGGATTAAGTGAGTAATAACGGGAGACACCTCTAAGGGTCGTTCGTAGTCTGTAGTTATAATCAAAGTCTCCTGGAAGGAGAGCGAGAGTTTGTGTATAGATCTATACGGGGGTGACTCCCCCACACCTCAGCTGTTCGCTACAGTTAGACTCAGCCAGTCTAGGGTGACAAAATCTTAAGATCAATCCCGGCATACATTAGGATGCCAAGACAGACGAACTAGTCATTATTATGCATGATTATAACGACTCACATAATTAATTAAATCCAATACCATCCGAGTAATCAAGGAAGAGTAATCAAAATCATTCGTTGTGGCGGTATAGCAATTTGAAAAACAATTATATTTTATGTTATCGGAAAACATCGGGTTTTTCGAGGAAATCAACACCACTCGCTTGTATTTTTCTATAACTATAATACAAAACTCCCTTTTATACACGTTTTGAAATCATTCATGCATCAACTTATGGATCTTCACACTTTGGTAAACAATTGTCTTTTCAGAAAATATCGGATTTTCTGGGTTTTATAAACTACACAAATCATTTTTATCACAACCCTGCTTATGAACTCACCAACATTTCATATGTTGACGTTTTTCAAAATAACTTGTATTCTCAGGTAACAGGTAAGCTGCAGGGTAATATCAAGTATGTTAGGAAGCTATGTTTTGAAAACTCTTAAACAATTTATGTTATGGGTGTGTAATATTTAAAACAATGTACTGGATGTGAACAATATCAGTTGTAATGTATTGATGCATGGTGATGTTTATGTTATGATTCATTCATATCCATTGTGATGATATTCAATTTAAGTCACGCGAGCCCTCGAACGTTTCCGCCGTCTGGTTCGGAGGTGTGACATGTTATGTGGTATGCTAGCTATTATGTGATATGTGGTATGCTAGATATTATGTGATATGCGATGTGCTAGTTGACTCTGTGTTGCTTGCATGGAAAGACCTCGGGGGGGTTCCCGAGGCAGTGGGATATAAGACCATGTGGAGGTTCCCATGGCGTTCCAGGCTAAGACCATGTGGGGGTTCCCATGGCAGTGATATAAGACCATGTGGGGGTTCCCATGGCTTTCCTAGTTAAGACCATGCGGGGGTTCCCATGGCAGTGGGCTAAGACCACGTGGGGGGGTTCCAGTGGCACTCGGTGTAAGACCTTGGAGGGTTTCCATGGCTTCCCTATATGTTTATATGCATGGCTTGTGTAGTTGATGTGATTTATGTGAGTATGTGAATAAGACCTTGGAGGGTTTCCATGGCATCTTCATATGTGTATATGCATGCTTATGTGATTGTTATGGTTTATGTAGCTGTTATAGCTGATATGGATTATGTGGTTATGTGGATTGTGTGGGGTATGCTCTGGGGAACTCACTAAGCTTCGTGCTTACAGTTTTGTTTATTGTTTCAAGTATCATCGGTTTGGAAAGGAAGGGCTCGGATTGATCACAGTGCACACACCCATGTTTTCCGCATGGAATGATTTTGGGATGAACTCTGATAAATGTTTTAATAACGATGTTTTGGATGTTTGGAATAAATGATATCTATGTTTTGGCTATATTAAAAACAAAATTTTTTACCCTTTGATTTTTGGGTCGTTACATGATATGATGAGTGTTGGGAGTTTACTTATTGACTTTTAGGAATAGTTTAGACTATGATGTTTTGGGAACATGCTTATGTTTTTGGTTTTAATTATTCTGTTAACAACTGAAATCTTTCTGCAACATTGCTTTCAAAATAAAATATTTTTCTTAAAGTACGTTGCTATTCTCAAACCACGAGGTTTGTTCCGTTCAAAAGGGATAGTAACAAGGTTCACTAACTGATTTTATGTCTAGCAATAAAAATCTATATGAAATGCCATGATAGCAAGAACATTATCATCTCAACCCTTAGGAATCGTACTAAAGCTAAAATATTTCCCAAGTTTGGACAATTTACTAGCAATGTATACATCCACCAAACTCCCATACTGTTCACACGTTGTCCACAAGTCCTTAGTTTAAAAAAAATCATAAAATTGGTAATGTATAACAACATAGAGACCGTTCCAAGATCTTTAAAATTTGGATTAATTGGCTTACCTCTTGATTCATCTTCAACTCCATTTTGTTTTTCTTTACCATAATTACTCTTCTTAGTATTGACAAATTGCCATTCCCACTCGATTTTGCTTTTGTTGCTTTTTCACATCCACTGCCATTGATGTTGATTACCACCACGCACACGAAAAGGAACCTAACAACCATCTTATGTAACTCAATCAAACAATATCCAGTCGTGAGAAATCTTGAATCCGTTTATCACAACCCCCCCTCTCCCGCTTGAGAGAGAGAGAGAGAGAGAGAGAGATTTGTGTGATAAGGGATATATTTGTTATTTGGTTTATCTATCAATCTCTATTGCCTTGCAGATACGCAATTTCATAGTAAAACACCATTTGGATCAATTTATTCATTTCAATCAATTAATTAAATTAATGAACATGTAGGGAAGAGGTAATAGGAATGGAGATGTTGTCAAAGATGACACGGAGATGAAAAGTCATTAAAAGGAATCATCGACCAGTTATTGTTGGGCAAAATGATGTTTTTTAAAGTAAACGTTAGTCATATATATAAAAAAAAATCCAAATTTCTTACCATACGAAGTGATTAACCCGATACTTATTAATGTTTTAGAGTTTGGATTAATCTTTTACTATTAATTCGTAAATAGACTCTTATTATACCGGTGTTTTTTTTAACTAATTTGTTAAAATATTCCTATATTTCTAGAGAAACATTATTACCAGGCTACATAGTACACTACAAAACATTATATCTTAGGTCCCGTTTGATAGTTTATGTCTGGGAAAGTGTTGTCTGGTAAAGTGCTGTCTGGGAAAGTTTTCTGACTGGGAAAGAAACCATGCTGTTTGATTGTACATCTGATTGACTATGCTGAATGATGAAAAAAAATAACAATTCAATAAAAAATAATTTTAAAAAAAGTTATTTAAAAAAAAATTAATAATCCATGAAAGAAAGAAAGAGGCGGAGTTTGGTGCATAATTGTCTTTCCAGCCCATTCAGCCATAAATATATGATTTTGGGGCTTTCTGGGAAAGACATATCTTACCGGGAAAGACCTTTTTTTTGTGCAAATCAAACAGTCTTTCCGGTCCATTCAGTCAGAAAGATCTGTTTGGACCTGGAAAGATACGTATCAAACGGGGCCTTAGTTCATTAAATCTATATTTTTATCATCACCGTCCTTTAACTTGCTTTACCCACTAATGACGGTAATAAAAAAAACATCGATCATACTTATTTATCAAAATTTTGTCAATCAGTCTTTCTATCATGAAGATACCATCGGCTTTAACTCCATTCAACATTTCAACAACAAAATATTTGTCATATGCGTTTGTATATCACAACTAAATTAAATTTACAAACTTTTATAGTAAAAATCGTTACATTTATTAAATTGGAAAAACACTACATACCCATGAGTATGCCTCCGTCAAACAACAAGCTGCTTGCATATAATTTTATAGATTTAAACTCGTAACCTTATAATGAAATTAAGATTAAAAAAAAAAGATGAAGGAAACAAGAATAGTGTCGTCATCTGTATCGATGCATCCAATCTTGAATCTAGAAACTAATTGCACAATGCAACTTGTACGGTTGTACCATATCTTTGGAACTCCCCCCAATCCCCACTCAAATTAAAAAAATAAAACTTAATCTCCTTCTTAAACCCTTCTCCAACTTCATTTCACCAAACTTTCTTAAAATTATCGACCCAAAATCCTGAATCTTGAATCTTGATCTTAAACCCTTAATCCTCAACCAATCAGATGAGTCACAACAATAACCACACCCGTCATGAGACCGTGATCAACATAACCAAACCAACAACAGGGTTCACCGGTGGGTTAGAGTTCGTGAACCTAACCTACACTGTGACCAAGAAAAAGAAAACAGATGAAGGCAAATGGGTTAGCCAAGATGCTGACTTATTGAACCGGATCACAGGGTTCGCACCCAAAGGGTGTGTGACTGCAGTCATGGGTCCGAGTGGTGCCGGGAAGTCTACTTTTTTGGATGGGTTAGCGGGTCGGATTGCAAGTGGTAGTCTTAAGGGCAAAGTGTCTTTAGATGGATCTGAAATGAACCCGAGTTTGATTAAGAGAACATCGGCTTATATCATGCAAGATGATCGGTTATTTCCGATGTTGACTGTGTATGAAACGTTGATGTTTGCTGCTGATTTTCGGTTAGGGTCAGTTGGTAAGATGGAAAAGAGGAAACGGGTTGAAACATTGATCGAACAACTTGGTTTATCGGTACGTAAAAAATAATATTAAATAACTCATACAAGTCATTTTTTTGTGATTACAATTATAGATTTATAGTAAATTTCAATTGACATAATTTAAGTGTATCAAAATTAGTTTTTATGCCGTTTTAAGTTTGTTTAATGTGTGAAAAAAGGTGCTACAACATGAATGACTTGTCATGAACGTATGAACGTGTTTCAAGAACTGTTTAGTTAATGTGGTTAATAGTTTTTGTTTTGTGTTTAAAATTTAAATTAACATAATTTGATAAAATGTCAAAACTGATTTTGTATTATTTCAAGAATGCTTATTGTATGAAAATAGTTCCTTTAATTGTGTGAAGATGGTGCTACGTGCCACATCGATTTGTCGTAGTGTGCTTAACAGTTATTTTTTTTTTGTACGAGGCTAAAAACATACAGTAGTTTCTACAAATTTAATCGCGTGAAAATTTAAATAAATACGGTAATTACTAGACTTTAATAAATTTCTAATTTGCATGCATTAACAAAAAGATTTAGGGCTATATGCAAAAAGTATATTATACCATTCTACACTTTCAATATTTTCCTATTACAACAATATACTTTTCAATGTACAATTATGTAGCATTAAAAAGTTAAAACCATAATGCTATAAATATAATAAACAAAACAATGAAAATACATTGTTATTTCTTGCAAATAAAAAAACTCCGGTAATTTACATACATTTTTTGTTATGTAGTCGGCAAGGAACACATACATAGGCGATGAAGGGACCCGAGGAGTCTCAGGGGGTGAACGTCGGAGGGTATCAATTGGTGTAGACATCATCCATGGACCATCACTGCTTTTTCTGGATGAACCAACATCCGGTTTGGACTCGACAAGTGCTCAAAGTGTTATCGAAAAGGTTCACAACATTGCACGAACCGGAAGCACCGTGGTTCTAACCATTCACCAACCATCATCACGTATCTTACTTCTACTTGACCACCTCATCATATTGGCTCGTGGTCAGCTCATGTACCAAGGGTCCCCGAAAGATGTTGGGTTCCATTTGGGTCGAATGGGCCGGAAAGTTCCAAAAGGGGAAAGCCCGATTGAGTTCTTGATTGATGTTATTCAACGATATGATCAATCAGAATATGGAGTGGATGCATTAACAGAATTTGTGGTTACGGGTATGAAACCACCAGAATTATCGGATGATGATGAAATGTCGCTTATGACCCCGACACCACCACCACCCCATCGAAGCTTCGGGAAGAAGAGTCGGTTTCACATGGAAGGAAAAGATGGTCAAGAAAAGGGATTTGATCATAGTGTGAGAAGCCCGTGGAATAATTCGAATACATGGAGCCATTCAGGAATCATGCAATCGATTATGTCAACTCCGAATCGTCTTAGGAATGATAGGAAAACATCGACTCCAACAAGGTAAAAGAACACACTTTCTAGAAAATTGCATAAAGACACAGAGAGTGAGTCATTGTCTCACCTTTTTAGGTCCGAAAAAAAGTAATAATTTTTTACATTTATTGCATAAAGAGGCCAAGAGTGAGTCCTTGTCCCACTTTTAGTCCCAAAAAAAGTAGCAAATTTTGGCTACTACATTAGTTACTCACATTCTTGAATGATCATTTTGGTTGAGACAAAAAATTGTACTTTTGTCCCATTTTATTCTAATGAGTAACAGTCTCATCTTTTTTGGATGTGCAATTTTTTTATTCTTGATTCACCTTGTTGGGTGCACATTATGTCCCACCAACGTGACTCAAGATCTAATATATCGAACACAATATAATCTGTTAATGTTAATTTCATGTCTTTTTTCTGCAGCGCATCACGTGGCTACTATGCCAACTCGGCTGACATCCTATCGGGAACCACCACTCCACAAAGCAGCTCTTATACCCTCAACGAAGACGACTACCGCACCCCTTCCACCACTCCAACCACCATAAACCACCACCACCTCCACCCCAAATTCCCAAACTCATTCCTCCCAGAAACCTGGATCCTAATCCGCCGGAACTTCATAAACATCCGGCGAACACCAGAACTCTTTCTCTCCCGACTCATGGTCTTAACAATCATGGGATTCATGATGGCCACCATGTTCAAAAACCCCGGAAAAACCATGCAAGGCATAACAAACCGTCTCAGTTTCTTCATCTTCACCGTTTGTCTCTTCTTCTTCTCATCAAACGACGCCGTTCCCGCCTTCATCCAAGAACGCTTCATCTTCGTTCGTGAAACTTCACACAACGCATACAGAGCCTCTTCTTACACCATCGCCGGACTGATAACCTACCTACCGTTTCTCCTTCTTCAAGCCGCCGTCTACGCCGCCCTAACCTGGTTTGCGTTAAAACTCGAAGGGCCGTTTTTGTACTTTTTGATCGTTCTTTACGTTTCTTTACTCTCGACTAATTCATTCGTGGTGTTTGTGAGCTCGGTTGTTCCGAATTTTATACTTGGGTATGCTGCGGTGATTGCGTTCACGGCGTTGTTCTTTTTGTTTTGTGGGTATTTTTTGAATAGTCATGATATACCGAAGGTTTGGAGATGGATGAATGTGATATCGACGATGACGTATCCGTATGAAGGGCTTTTGATAAATGAGTTTCAAAGAGAGGAAGTTTTTGGGGTGAATCTTGGTGGGGTGAATGTTTCGGGAGTTGATATTTTGCAATCATTGCATATTTATCATGAAAAAGATCCGAAGTGGTTTAAGGTTTATGTGATGTTGGGGTGGGCGGTTTTATACAGGGTTTTGTTTTATATTGTTCTTCGTTTTGGTACTAAGAATCAGAGGACGTAGAGATTATAAAAGAGATTTTTTGTATTTTTTTTTATTAATTAGTTTGGGTGATAATAAGAATGAAGTGTTCAACGTTTTCATTTCATTTAATTTTTTCGTTTCTTATTATGTTGGCATATCCATCATCGTAATTCGTACGTCTCCTGATTTTTCCACATCTCTTTTTTATATATATATCCCCTAAATTTTAAATTTAAAATTGAAGAGAGAACCCAAACATTTATTTCCTTTATTTCCGAACACATGAGGCTCCTTTTTCATTCTTTCTACCTTGTTGCCTAACCAATTCGACATCCATATTATGCAAGCTTTTGATGATGAATAAACATAATTTCGAAGAGGCATAAGATCCCATAAGATCCCATATTCATCTGGTAATGAGAACGTGCATTGCATAAGATTCCATCCAAGATCTAATAAATGAAAGTTTTTTTTTTTTTTTTTTTTTCTGCTTGTCATATTCTCATTTAATTTGTCAAATGTAATTTTGTGGTTATTTTGAATTAATTTTTTTCCACATGTCATTTTATGGGTTTTTGTATTTTATTAAATTTCATATAATATTTTAATGTAATAATAACAATAAATATGGTAATAAATGGATCTCAATTTCATTAATGAACTTACCTTTTAATTTCAAAATTGTCAAAATTAAAGCTCATTACTTTCTTTTATTTATTTAAATTATTTGTTTAAATTTAAAAGATAATAAATATTTTCATTATAATAATTCATTATTTTTCTTATTTTCTTATGAATTCAAAATTCTTAAATATTTTGACATTTATATTTAATTTTTCTTTTTAAATTAACCCATGTTGGCTATCACAACTAGTGAACCAATAAAAATGTTTAATTTCTCATCGAAAGTCACGTTCAAATTCATATCTAGAGAGAGAAAGGTAGAGAGAAAACATGTCAGGAAAAGGAAAAGGAGGCACGAGATTGGGTATGCCCGAGATACACCTTCCTTATTTTGGTTTGCTTATAGGAAATACATTAATCAGTTTGAAAATTTTGACAAAGAACCCTTTGAAAATGTTGACAACGATTTTATTATTATTATTATTATTTTTTTGTAAATCAGTTCTTCGATTTAACTCCCCTTGCTCCTCCATGTGATGCCATTAATGGTGTTTATGGAGTATAAATGTTGTTTCGTGAAAATCTGAGACCAACACCACCATAAGAAATCTCTAAAACATATGCTAATCACATTGCTGAGATTAATCAGGTTTAATTCACACGTTTTTCAAGGTTCAAATTTAGATTGTTTCAGTTTTTTAATTTATATGAAATAAGTTTGGGTTCAAGGCATTAGTGGATATGTGAATATCGGTTTGAAGACCCAAAAACATTTGTTATTAGATTAATTTAGTAGTTTATTTGGTATTTTCTTTGTCCGCATAGTACCTAGTCTTTAGATAGATGTGGTTAAACAAGGCCTATTTATTTTTTGTAACGCCCGGATTCTTGAGATATATGTTATTTGCTGATTTGAGAGTTTTGGGGGTTGCCACGACGTGGTGGAGGAACCACCACGACGTGGCGATGGAAAATTGTTCACAGACTCATTTAAGCCACCACAACGTGACATTCTTTTGGCCACGACGTGGCAGCCATCTGGAGGTCTAAACCCTAAAATCCGGGTCTTGCACCCTATTTAAAGGAAGTAGTAGTTAGGGTGTAACGCCCCGTTCTAAAAGTACTTATTTATGAATTTCCGAGATCAAGAGTAAGGGTGTTTCGGTCTTTTGTGGGCAATGGGTTTCATTCGAGAAGTTTCGGACCGGGGTGTGTCGTTAGAAGCATAGGGCTTCTCGCCACCTTTTCGTGGATATAAAGTTCGTCGGAAACGGACTTAGGATGAAGGAGTTATGACATTTTAAAGAAAGTGACATTTATAGCCCTTAATGGAAAAAGTTGACGAGAAAGGCCATGCATGCAATTTGGGACACGCGTGGGTACGCCCAGCGTAGGCTGGGTTACGCCCAGCGTAACCGAGTAAATGGTCGCGGGTGCAAGGACGCGTACGCCCAACGTACTAGAGGTATGCCCAGCGTACGCTCAGAGTCATTAAACCCTAATCTTAGGGCCAGCCACTATATAAGGAACATTATGGTTCCAACCCTAGCCTCCATATCTGCCCTCTTACTCTCAGAGAAACCCTAGAACGCCTCATCCTTTCATTTTGTGAGATCTTGACCTTGGGAAGCTCATTTTGGTGGTTTTAAGCTTGGAAGAGGAAAAGAAGAAGTTGTCAAGGAAGGAGTTGGGTGGCTGGAGCTCGTAGATCTGGGAAGGCATCATCTTCTGGAGCCCTTTTGAGGTATAAAGTCTCTTGCTTGACATCTATTTTGTGTAGATCTAGGTGTTATGAGGTTTTGACACCATTTCTTGTCCCAAAAACCCCCAAAGTGATGCATGATGCGAGTTGGTTGAGATTAGCTGTCCTTTCAGACCTTAGGAGAGGTCTTGAGTGAGAAAAATGAGGTCCCAAAGGCTTTGATTGTCTCATGTGTAATGTAGGTGGGTCTTAATGGATTAAGACCTTGAGTTAAGAGCTTTATGGACGTCCCAAGTAATAAAGTTTGAGACTTTATGAATCCTAGGCATGTTTGGTCGATGGATATGAAGTTTGGGTTTAAAAGCTTAAGCCATTAAGGACTTATGTGGAATTTTGGTTCAGCAAGATTACGCCCCTCGTAAGTTGATGTACACCCAGCGTACTCACCATTCTGCCTGTACGCTTAGCGTACATGGGGGGTACGCCCCGCGTACTCTGTCTGTATGGATCATGAGTTTTTGGGCCGTGGTTTGGGGCATGTTTGGGTATTTGGGCCTTAGTGGGCCATCAGAAATCATATTATACGGACCAAGGAATATATTTTGGGCTTAGGGTGAGGCCCATTAAGGGATTGGGCCCAATATAGCAAATTGGACCATTAGTGGGTCACTAGTGGGCTTGAGAAGCTTACCTAGTGTTGGGCCCTTCATATTATGGTGTTGGGCCTTAGTCATGGACCAGATTGGGTTAAGGGTAAAATGGTCAATTTAACCTTAGAAGGATATTGTTTTGGGCTAAGTGTTATTGTGGCATTGATAGTTCGGGGAGCTAGAGGAGCAGCAGTGCGGGGATTGTCAGATAGCAGCCAGAAGGGTACCAGCAGTGTTTCAGCAGTTCAAGGTGAGTTATCCTCACTATATCGACAGGGTCTACGGCACCAAGGCCGGCCCTTTATCGGATGGAAATCCGGGTGTTGTTTGTTATGTTATTGTTTTGCTAGATCTGCATCCTGGTATTTAGGATGGTGTTATGTTAGTGATCTGGTTAAGGTCGGTACCCGGGATATAGGGTAATGTTATGCTGGTGACCGGTTGGGTCGGAATCCTGGTTAGGATGTTGATATGCTATGTGATCTGTTAGACTGCTTGTCTGGTTAGAGATTTGTTATGTGATTGATTGTTTTATGTGCACATGGTTGTTGACGGGGGTTGGGTTGAGGCGGGTCCTGCTTAGTGCTGTAGGCCAACATACCCAGGGCGGACCGGATATTACGAAGGCCCAGCGAGCGGTCTGGATAGGCTGAAGGCCCCAAGAGGGCGGACCAGACGTGCCGAGGCTCGGAGAGTAGACCAGGCCGACTGAAGGCCCGGTGCGGGCGGACCAGTCATACTGTAGACTCAGAGAGTGGACCAGGTGGATTGAAGGCCCGGTGCGGGCGGACCAATCACACTGTAGACTCGATGTACATGGCTAGACTCGGAGGGTGGACCAGGTGGACTGAAGGCCCGGTGCGGGCGGACCAGTCACACAGCAGACCCGATGTGAACGGCTGTTCTATTTGTGATATGTTATGAGTATGTTTATGTGTGGTTGGTATTTTGGGGGTAACTCACTAAGCTTTCGGGCTTACAGTTGTAGTGTTATGTTTCAGGTACTTCAGGAGATCGTGGCAAGGCGAAGTCGTGATCGTACCGCTCCTCATGTTTTATGATATGGTTCTGGGGATACTCTGATGTTTAAATATTTTGAAAACGAAATGCATGAACTTAATGGTTTTTGAATGAAGTAAAATGTTTTAAATTTGGTTGAAATTTTATGGAAGTTACATAGGGTTTCACTTCTTATCAGCCTCCAACACCTAGAAACCTAAACCCTAGCCCTCTTTGAAGCTCTTGACTCATTTGGTGTGTTTTTGTGGCCTTGGAAGGAAGAAGAAGGAGCTTTTATGCATAGATAAGCAAGCTACTCATCTCTACTCCATGTGAGCATCTTCAAGATCATTTGTGAGTTCTCAAGTTTTCATCTTGATGATGTTTACCATATAGATCTAGGTTATTTGGTATGTTTTTGTATATAGTTAAGTTTTGGACGGTTGAAAGAGATAAATGTTGCAACTTTATGAATCACTGGTTCATTTGGTGTAGTTTGTGGATTGGATCTGAAGTTTGGTTGTACTTCGAAGTCATGCATGAGATTTAGGTCATAAACACTCATTTTGACCTAATATGGGTTCAATACATGCATTGGACATGCATATCTATAAAGCACTAACTTTCATGATGGTTTTAGTGTTAGAAACACTTATGGAAAAGATGGACTTCAGACTTAAAGGAATAAGTGCTTAATGGTTATGCTCATGTCTTGTGGAACCTAGGTTTTGAATTTTGGACGTCTTTGGATGGTCCTAATGTGTAAATTTAGAAACTTGATCCTTCTAAATCATGTTTTGAGTTAGCTGAGCTGTGAAGCTCATGTGGCCGAAGAAAACAACATAATCAATTAGGCTGTTTGGAACCCAGTTACCACGACATGGCGTCAGGTGTGACAATCGTCAAGATCTGGTAAAGTCAAAGTCAAATAAAGTCAACGAGTCAAACCGGTCAACACAATTAACCATTCGTACGTTAAGATTTACATTATGCTTACTTTGTACAACTCGCTATCTTAATATCAAGTATCGCTTAGAGTTTTTCAATGTTCAGAAAATCTCAAA